CAACAGTAAACATTTTCAAATATGAAACCCGATGAGATATTAATTTTATGATTATTTGATATTGTAGCTTCGCACAGATGACTTGCTATGTAAATTGATAGGTATAATCCATAGATATTATCATATGTGTTGCTACAACTTGTACATCAGAGAGAAAAGCATTCGCAAAGATGCTAACATACGATATCTACTCGCTTTTTTTTTTACCTCTCTTGATTAAGTTTTTAACTATGAATTATATTTTAATAAACCGCCCAACTCCTCCGAAACCGCCAAGGCAAAATCCAGCCATTATTTGGCCAACCGAACCGCCGATTTTGATAAGAAAATGACAAATTCTAGTGACATCTTTATCAATCCCCACCCGCCATTACCGGTTTCATTTTTTCTCACAACCGTACCACCCGCACGCGCACACCCACTAACCACCACGTGTTGATAGCATTCCCGCGGCAGTCGGATAATCTGGCTTCTCGCAAGATGGCCCTGGCCTCAGGATCTGCACTACTTCCTCTCCTATTGTTTCGATGCGTATCAACGTCGGTCTTCATTGCTCGTTGGGCCAGCTGACTACCGTTTTGGCCGATTCTGTCTAACGTAGTTCTACCTTATGGGCAAAGTGACCTCGGGGTCCCAATGTCCAAGCATTTCGTAGGTCGGTCCATGCGATCAACCTCAATATTTGCTCTCAGGAAAGAGGCTGTCTATCTCTCTTTTTCTTTAATCGACTAGGTCCGCAAGCTGACCGAGTAAGAAAAAGCAGCGTTCTGCATCCGCCTTCTGGCAAGGATCTTTCTCCATTGTTTCTTCACTTTTCCTGGTTCGTCAGGACTTCTTCCTTGACTCATCTCTAGGACCTACCACGTCCTTGCTGTCTCAATCTCTGCCTCTCTGAGCTCGGTTTTCGGAAATGCTCCGGTGGAAACATGTGGATCATTGTCCATGACGCATGCGATCCCATTAGCGAGCAATTCTTTGCCTTGCAGGTATCATCCGTTCGGACCTCCTCCCAATCCCATACTACTGTGTTGGAACCGCAATTCAGGTTGTGATGCCAAATTCGAGTCGAGAACGACATGCCCTCATTGCATTGCAACCATGTCCCCCAAAATGATGTTTGTAAGGGGAGGAGTGTGTCAATTACGGTGAACTCTATTGTTATCTTCTGGTCCGCGCTCTCCTCAACTCAAGCTGGTGTGTTTCCCAGTGCGCATGTCGGCTCCATTGACCCAACCATTGGCTATTAGATTGCTCATGTCGTCTGGGGTGAAGGCGAGGCTTGTAACATCGGACGTACGATGATGTCACAAGAGCTCCTTGGTCAATCAGGATCCTTTACTTGCATTCCCAACCTAGAGAGGATACTACCAAGGCATCATTATGCGGATGCTGCACCATCTCAAGGTCGGCTTCAGAAAAAGACACTACTGGTCCTTGGCACTCCTCTGCCGAATCTCTTCTCTCCGACTTGGTAGACATGCTGCAGATGTTTTACCTTCTAGGTCTCCCCCGAATCTCGTTTTCGTTGACCTTTGAGTGAATTACATTAATTACCCGAGGTCTCCTGCTTTGGTTGCTGTGTGGGTGGGGGACTGCTAGTGCTTCGCTGAGGCAATCTTGCCTGTTCTTCCTTGTTCTGACCTCATCAACAAGGTCTCTCAAATGGCTTGTCTCACCAGGTTTTCCAAATGTTTTCAAGGCTCTGCAGCCTTGAGTCATATGCCCGTTTTCATTGTGGTAAGCACAATGCCTTCCCAAGGTCTTCCCATGAATTCTCCTGTGCCTTTGTGGTGTCTGAAATAGGGTGATTCTGAATTTGATCCAAGACTTTGTGAATTGGGATTCGGAACACAGTTGTCACTGCCTGTGCAGCCCTCAGTTCTGTCTCTTGTTTGCTCAATCCATACATTGTTACCTCGGCCTCGCTTCGGCGAGCCGTTTCCCTTTTCTTGCTTCACCTCCTTGGTCCCCGATGTATCTTCTTCGGCCCTAGCGTACTTCTCGATCCTCGCCATGAGCTTTTCCTTGCTTTTTGGCAATGTCTTTGCCAAAGATTTTCGTAGTGGACAGTTGTCTTTTAGGCCGTTCTTGAAAGATACGACTGCCACCTCTTGATTACATTCTGGTATTCGGTTGAACACCTCGTAGTACCGTTTTGCATAGGCCTTAAGGCCTTCATCCTTACTGATCTTCAGAGCCATTAGTGCGTCCACTCTCAATGGCTGCAGCTTGTTTGTCACGAACCTGGCCACAAACATGTCTGCCAGGACTTCCCAAGTCTTTACGCTTCCCTTTGGTAATTTGTGGAACCAATCTAATGCAATCTCCCCAAAAGATGAGGGGAATACTTTGCAGAGTAATGGCTCGTTCCCACTGTACAACGCCATTGAATTCAGGTATAATCCAACATGAAAGTTGGGGTCCGACTTACCATCGTATATTTGGAACCTTGGCATACTGAATCTTTTCGGAGCCTCAAATTTGTCTAACCCCACCGAGAATGGTGTTCTCGGCTTTTTAGGGGAAGTTACATCGGCATCGGCATCGGCATTCTGCTGCTTCCTCTTGAGGTAATCTCTCAAGTCTTCTTTGCTCCGCCTAGAAGCTCGGCTATCTCCTGACTTCAGTCTTTTCAGCATACTACTCTCAGCTTCATGGTGGGTCCTTTTTGATCTTTCTCTGTGAGTTGTGTCGAAGCAGAGTACTTGCCCCTGAATATGCCGATGTTCTTTGGGGTCTGCCTCCTTGGCGCGGTGCGTCCTCCGCGACTCTGCTCTCCTCGACTCTTCTCGCCTGACCTCTCCGGAAGGCCGGTGAGCGTATTTATCGCTTCTGGTGTGCTGAGGGGCTATTGGGATTGTCTTCTGCCCTCCTTTCTGGGCATTAGCCGCTGGAATAGGCGTGTCCTGAAGCGGGTATGGTGGCTGCATGACATTGTTTTGCATCATGAAATTGACGATCGATTGCAGGTTTGCCAATTTGTTTGCCATCTCCTTTACCTCTTCATCCATTCGCAGGCACCTATCCTTCCATACTTGGAGGTCATCCTCATTGTAGTACCCACTTCGATCTGGCTTATTTGGTACGTCGCCATCCTGGCCGACGTCTTTCTTGCTGTGATTCTGGTCACGAGTTTCTGTGTTGCGGTTATCTCCTTCGACGTCAAGGTTGATAGGTCTGCCACTCCAAGCGGGAGTGTCGTCTCCAATCTTGTCTTTCTGTCCGTCACTAGCCATCTATTCTCCTTTCTTTCCCATAGACGACACCAAATTGTGTGAGTGATTTTCCGATCACACTGTCCAACTCAGTAATCAGTTGAAGAGTACTGGCAGAATAGATGACACCTAGCTGACCTGCAACAGAAAGAGAAGATTCCGGCTGTGGTTCGTCCACCTAGGGGCACTCCGACGATCAAGTCAGTATATCTCTCAAAGATAATCAATAGTGCTAAACTTACTGTTCAGAATATAAATTGCGTACCTTAGACCCATGCGGGTGCCTCTCTTTTATAATTAACTCAATCCTTGTCCCACTAAAAGCCTAACTTCAATGGATTCTTGCTCAGTGCTTATCCTGGACTCTCCAAGAGATAAAGATAAACTCCCTAAGAGTGTTATCCTTATCCATGCTAAAGTCCTTCGTCATTCTAGGACTATTGTCCCTTATCCGCTTATCTCGAATTTCGATATATTCGGAGATAACCTCGGCCTTGCCGAGATAACCTCGGCGTCATAACCTGAACACGTGGCACCTCGGCTGACACGTCGGCATCATCTTCGCCACGTGTTGGTACTCAGAAAACATATCCCCAAATAGAGTTAAAGATAAAAGAGAGAAGTGTGGAACTGTTTTGTATGAATTTTAATCATGTCATTAAAAATAGAATTAAAAAATATTAATTAAGAGATATAGTGGGACTATTTTATTAAAAACCCAAGTGCTAGCTACACAAAAAAAATCTTTCGATGATGAAAATGAAAACTCGCTTGAAATAGCAAAACATGGTGGGTAATGTAGCAAGACCTCCATAGCCCCACAAAAAGAAGAAAAGACAGGTGAAAATAATGACAGACAGCAATAATAGAAACAGAGAAGCCAATATTAGTGGATTTCCTACAATTTCATGCTCAAGAATCAGCTAGTCGTTGGACCATATAGGTGGTCTCAACCAATCAATTTCCCCCACCGAAATACTTATGTACCCTTGAAAAATAATTACAAAAATAAAGTGTATGACATAAATTTCAATATAGTGTAGTGTGACACTTAAAATAAATTTGACTTACAGATTTAATTTTTTGAATATATTTTTTTTTTAGGTACTTACCATTGTTGGGACCTCTGCATGTTCTACTCTGACGATCAAAATTGTTTATTTAATAAAATTTTATGTATACATCATCTATAAAAAAAAATAGATTGATGTGATATTAATAATTACAATACATGATTTTATTATATTTGTTTTAAACAAAATAGTTGATAAAGTATAATAGTTTAAAAAAGAAAAAAAAACTATCTATTTCACAAACAAAAAAAAAATTATTTGACCATATATATATAATTATCCAATCAATTTATATTTTTATGAATAATTTGTACATACAATCCAACAAAATAAATAATTCATATTGTCAAAGATTCGTAATGAATTCTATAGACCCAACACACTCTCTAATCATTGGTATCCTATTCATATACACAAATTTCTCCTAATCTAAGTATATTAAATTGGATTAGAGTGAATCCTTTCCCTTGCTATTTTTTCTTGAGGTTTACTAAATCGTTGGTTGAATAATTGGTAATTTAATTTGCATCTTTTGTAGTTTATTTTTTATTATTATTATTATTATTATTATTATTATTATTTAGGCTTGTCACTTAAGCCATATGAAAAGTCAAATTTCTGACCCCAGTAAGGGATTTGATTGGTTCACACCATTTATAATTGGTGGTGCATGAACTACCAGAAGGTTCAAATTCCCTCATATATATATATATATATATATATAGAGAGAGAGAGAGAGAGAGAGAGGGAGGGAGAGAGTTTCTACCATAGTTGCAGTCTTGTTGGGTAAGGGTTGTGAGTATGTAAAATATCATAATCATTTGCAGTCTTGTTGGGTAAGGGTTGCGAGTTTGTAAAATATCATAGTCATGAAGGAAACACTAAGATACTTGGCAGGTATAGCAATCATAGTCATGAAGGAAACACTAAGATACTTGGCAGGTATAGCCGGGCCAAGTGGGTATGGATCAAACTCAACAGCTGAGCAAGTTACTCGACATTCTTCTTCTTCTTCTTCCTTACTCCCTTCTCATCATCTCACTGCAATTGTCACTGGTTACTCTCTCTCTCTCTCTCTCTCATCATCTATACAAAACTTCATGGTGATGAAAATTTTCATTTTGACATGAAAGATTGTTTTAAATTTATTATGGAAAACAAGTTTGGTTTACTACTACTACTGGGGAATATTTACCTTCTTTTTTACTTTCTTTTTTTTGATATTTCATTTTCATGTCCTAGAGGTTTTCTTATGAATTCATTAATGTGAAGCACTTATTTGGAAGTAGGGTTTTGGAGGTTGTGGATTTAACTAGATGCTTAATATGTATGTATATATATTCCTTTGTGTGTTCTAAATGTTTATATAATTGTTGGATTGCATTTGCTTCATATTTTCTTGATTTTGTTCAACACAAAATTATTCAAGTCACCTTTTCATTTTTCTTTTCTTTCATCATCATGTCTCTCCTCTCTCTCCTTCCATTTATTTTTCTTCTTATTTTCCACCAGTTGTTGTCTTTCTATTCCTATCTTCCATTCAACTTTTTGACTAACCTTTTAAGAGAATTGTCATTTAATTTTCTTGGAATGAATTTTGCATATTAATTAGTCAAATTTATCATAAAATTTTTTAAATATTATTTATTGAAAATACTTATTGATGATAATGTCATCAATAGATTTTGTTATTATTCTCCTCCACCAGCAAAACATATTGTATTCTATTAGTGGCCATTTTTTATTCTAGGAGGATATAGTTTTGTCTCTTTTGAACAGTTCTATCTAATTGGCTCATGCTAGATTATTGCTTTTCCTAATAATACTTGATGTCACTTCACTCAAAAAAAAGAAAAAAGAAAAAAATATCATCATGGTATTAAATAAATAATCTTCCTACGCATGACATGATAGTATGATATTCATATTTGCATATGACATGTTTGTAGGCCAAGTATCCTCAATGTGTCACCAAAATCCACCTACTCTTTTCCTATTTCCAATCATAATTTTAAATAAGGAAATTATATATCAATTGATATCAGATAATATTAATATTGAATGATATATCAGTGAATAATTATATCAAAAGTTCGAAATTGCAATATGTATCAGCTCATACAATACATATCAATTAATATTTAAAATCATATTGCCAACTACATAGTAAGATAGGAATCTAGACATAAGATTATCTCAAAATACGGTCATACGGTAAGAAGTGCATTGGAGATAGGAAAACAAAAAATTTGATGACAAAGAATCTCGTGCCATGTTATGTATAATATTTTTTTAATATATATATATATATTCAACATTATTATTAAATTGTGTTGTTTTATGTATGTGACAATAGGTGCAACATCAGGCATTGGGGCTGAAACAGCAAGAATATTAGCAAAGAGAGGTGTGAGGATTGTGATTCCAGCAAGAGATTTGAAGAAAGCTACTGAAGTAAAGGAATGTATCCAAAAAGAGAGTCCAGAGGCTGAGATTGTATTATTGGAGATTGATCTAAGCTCATTAGCTTCTGTCAAGAGATTTTGTTCTGAGTTCTTGTCTCTAGGATTACCCCTTAATCTTCTCATGTGAGTTTATTTTTTGACTACAGATTTTTTGTCTCCTACAAAACAAAATGATCAAGTCAGAGAGATATAATCGTGTGGTAGAGAGAGATTTGAGAGATTTGCTACAAACACACAAATCAAGTACAAAACAAAATGCAAAATACATATGAACGGATAACATTTTACAAGATTTATTGGTAGGACCTATTTCTGAAAAATCTTATCTATTTCCGTGACCTGATTATGCATTCCTAGACTTATTTACTCTATTTAGTTTTGTTTTAGAATTTTTTTTTTGAAAAATAAAAAAAACTAATTTGATAAAAAAAAATGAAAAATATTAAAAGCACTGATCATTTTCATATTATTTTCTATTGTTTGAGGTGGAAATAATTTTTTAAAATTCAAAAAATATCATTTTAATTATTTTTATCTAACTTATTTCTATTTTTTTTTCTAGAAACAAATTCTAAAAACAAAACTAAATATAGTTATTACTTTCTATATTTTTTGTGTTCAGAAGTTGTCTTTTGGTTTTAAAAAAATGAAGAGAGAGAGAGAGAGATTGAAACTGATGGTGGTATGAAATCACTGTGCAGAAACAATGCCGGGAAATTTTCACAAAAGTTGGAGTTCTCTGAAGACAAAGTTGAGATGACCTTTGCTACAAACTACTTGGGTAAATTTATTTATTTGTCCACTTTTTTTTATTATTTATTTTTCTACCAAAATTCGTTGGTAATTCAAAGTGGGTTGAGTTTGTGTTCTCCATTTGATCCACGTACGAACTTTAGGCTAGCCTGGCCCAACAAAATTCTAGAGCCAAGTTTTCATTGGGCCTAGCTGGCCTTATGTCAAATTTTTAACTGCAGACAATTGTGTGGCATAAATATGCACTCAAAAGATAAATTGTTCTCTCATCCATATACTATTCTATAAACCAACCCATTTAGCTTAATGATTGTTTAATATCCTTTGTTACATGAGATTTCAAGTTTAACTCCTATAAAGAAAAGTTTGATACCTGTTGTAGTGATATTATTTCTCTCCTATTACCGTGGTTGTATGTAGTTAGTTGTTGGGCGTAATTGTTGACTTTCTAATTATTACTAAGTAGTAGTCTATTTGATGTAATATAACGTATTTGTAATTACTCTCTTACTGATTGGCAAACAAAAAAAAAAAATACTATTGTTTGAATCTCGAATTCATTCAAATAAATAAATAAATATTTCTTATAAATATTATTTTTTTATAGGTAATTAAACAACAAAAATGTAGCTAAGTTCTTTTCCTAACCCAATCAAAAAAGAAAAAAAAAATTATACTTTAATTTTTTTTCCTCTCTCTCTCTCCACAAATTCAAAATCCAAACATAGTCTAAAATGCTGTTGAAACTTTAAAATAAAAATAAAAATAGAGAGAATGAAATTGACCAAACTAATTTTATTTATTTATTTGGCAGGCCATTTTATGTTGACAGAATTATTGTTAGAGAAGATGGTGGAGACAGCAGCACATACTGGTATTCAAGGAAGGATTATTAATGTTTCTTCTGTAATTCATAGCTGGGTGAAACCAGAAACTTTCTGCTTCAACCAATTGCTTAATCCAAACAAGTATTTCAACTTTCTCTCTCTTGCTCTTCTTGCCCATAACATATTCAAATTTTATTTTTCTTGATAAAAAATAAAATAAAATAAAAACTAATGCCAATATATTCCACAACCCAACTAAAAAAGAAGAAATGAAATACTAATAATTGTTTGTTCGAGAATTAGAATAAAATTGAATAAAAAAAAAAAATTTATGGGATCCATATGTCTTCTAATGCGAGCAGTTATTTACTATTGTTAGCTTAATTATCAAAAATATGCAAGGCAATTATTTACAATTGTCTTTTCTAATCAACCATTTTTTTTTTTTTAAATCTTATTTTACTCTAACCAAAAAACAATACAATAATCCCATATCATATATAAACACATTCAATATGTGAGCCCCACGACATTACTTATTATTGCCTTACCCCTTAATCCCATTCCATCAAATAAACATGGCATTCATTATGTAAGTAATCAATGGAAATGTGGAACAATAATACTAAGAGTAAATTACACTGACCTCCCCTAAGATATACCTTAATTACAGGGGCCTTCTCTGTAGTTTCAAAAAAAACACTGACCTTCCCTACTTTTGAAAATAATATACAAATTTTCCCTTCTGTTAATCATTCGTCCAAAATTAAGTAGATTTTGCTGATGTCATCCATAATTATTTTGCAAATTCCAATACTACCCTTTGGCTATTGTAGGGTTTATGTTGACCACCATCAAAAAACAAATAAATTCAACATATCAAATAACGAACCGATCAAAAACCAAGATCTCATACAAATACCAAACACAAACATAACATATAGAGAGAGAGAGAGAGAGAGAGAGAAAGATGAGGAGGAGGAGGAGACAAATTTACAAAATTCTTCATTTGGGTTTTACTCATTGTCACATTTAAGTACTTGCCCCCTCGCCTCCTCTGTTTGCAAACAAAATCCCAATTTGGGTTTGCTCATTACAGCCACTACAACAAAATGCGCCTTTGGCGACTAAAAAAAATTTAGTCGCCAAAAGTTATTGAATTGGCGACTAAAATTTTTTTTAGTCGCCAAAAGTAAAATATTTAGCTACTAATTTTTTTTAGTTGGGGCATATTCATTATTGGCGACTAAAAAAAATTTAGTCGCTAAACATGCAAGAATTGGCAACAAAAAAAAATTAGTCGTTGTATATTGACTTTTGGCTACTAAAATATTTAGTTACCGAATGGGAAATAAAAAAATTATTTTTTCTCTTTGACGACTAAAGTTTTAGTCGCCAAAAACTTACTTTCAGTGACAAAAAAAACTTTAGTCGCCGTATATTGATTTTTGGCTACTAAAATATTTAGTCGCCGAATGTAAAATAAAAAAAATTATTTTTTCTCTTTGGCGACTAAAGTTTAAGTCGCCAAAAACTTACTTTCAGCAACAAAAAAAAATTTAGTTGTTGTATGTTGATTTTTGGCTACTAAAATCATTTAGTGGCCAAATAGAAATAAAAAAATATTTTTTATCTTTGGCGACCATAAATTTGGTCGCCAAAAACTTACTTTCAACGACAAAAATCAATTTTTGTCACCAAAAAATAAAATATTTGGAGGGATTTTTCAAATTTTGGAGGGTTTTATAAACTAATTGGCGACTAAATTTTAGTCGCTAATGGTGTAATATATATATCCAAACAACAAACCAGCACCCGTGTCTCTCTCTCTCTCTCTCTCTCCAGGATTTCTCTCTCTCTCTCTCCCTATGCCTCTCCCACTCCGTTGCTCCTCTCCCATCCATCTCTCACCGTCGCTCCACCAGCCACGCCTCCGCCGCTCCTCCTCGCGATCGCGGGCAACCGGACCACCGATTCACCTAGATTTGCCCTATTTTCTCTCTCTGAAATCTCTCTATATTCGTATATCTGTCTGTCCATCAACGGCGAGACCGATGTATGTAAATATATGTGTGTGTGTGTGTGTGTGTGTGTGTGGATTTGTATGTGATTCCAAGACACTCCATCAGCTAGGAAGCGCCATCTCCAGGGCATCCAGCACCAGCAATCCAAAGCTCTTTGGTACAATAATAATTCCTTACAAGGTTCTCTCTCTCTCTCCCCAAAACCCTAACACATTTACAAACACAAACATACATATGCATATAATAATATATCTATTCTTCTGCATATAATCATCAATTAATCATATAATTCCGACTTCACTCTCTTCAAATTGATTGTATATATATTTTTTGTAATAAGTAGATGCCAATCAACAGTTTCATTCAGACTCCTTTTGGAGAGGACTCTGCAATTGCTTCCTCAGAATGATACTCTTTTTTTTTTTTTCCCTTTTGGTTTAATTTAATTACACTTTTTACGCTTGTAGTTTCATCCAAATTTCAATTTGGACCCTACTGTAGTTTCAATTGGGTCATTATGTCCAAATTATAGGTTAAAATTAATAATTTTGGAACACTTGTGAATTTTCTAACGTGTATACATGGTCAAAATTAACAAAAATTTAGACGGAATGAACAAATTGAAGTTGGACATCCAAGTTTAGAGACCAAATGGTTCAAATTGAAACAAGAGGAACTGAAGTGAAAATGCTATATTTATTTTTAAAAGAGGTTTGATGCCATATAAATATTTTATATTTAAAAAAAATGATATATTTATAAAAATATTTTTTGCAAAAAATTCAAAATTTTTATTTATTAAACATTATTTTTTCAATTTGGTGAAAAAGAAAAAGAAAAATTAGAGTACAATACATATTTAAAAATAAAATGACAATACATAAATATCATAATAAACCACATGCTATGATTGCCTCCTAAAAATGCCACAAATGTTCAACCAAATCTCTGCATTATACTATTAAAAAACAATTTATTCAAAAGGAAGATGCTTCAAAAAATGAGGTCTACTACTGTTTTTATAGCCGTGAATTGTCTAAATTTGTTAACTTCAGAAAACACATAAGCTAGGCTGTGGTTTGGTTTCCTTTATCATACTTTTGTACCTCTATGGTCATGGTTCCTTTGTTAGATGCATTGATGGCGATGATCTCATGACATGAAATTCCATCTCCATTGTTATCTTGATCCATTGTCTGCTTAGCTGGTGCTGTTTGGTTGTTTGCTTATCTTGAAATTCCATCTCCATTATTACTCCTTGAATGTAATAAGTGAGTCTCGAGCAAACTATGCCCTGCATATATACATTTTAAAACAAAGAGTTGTAGAATATTACCATTTTTGGCAAAAGCTGGTTCTCCCATGTCATGAGAACAAACCCTCTATTTTACATCCTTGTGTATAGTAGTTTCATAATTTTTTTTTCTAGAAAGGTCTAATTCATGTTGTAGTTTTGTGAAGAAACATCAATTCATATTGAAGTGAACAGAAGCTTTGATGGGACTGCTATGAATTAGGGACCTCTAGAAGGGAGTTGGGTTGATTTAGAGAATATGGCTACATTGAAGTTGGGATTTAGTGAAAAACAGTCATTAATGTACTGCATATATTTGATTTTCTTATCCCTGGTTAACATTAAGAATGAAAATTTTGTTTTTCCATTTAGTCTCCTTACACTGTAAAGAGCTGTCAGAAGTTTGGTGTCCCAGCTTATAGACCAGACGCTAGCATTTCCCCTCTCCATTATAAGAGCCACTATGGCCCCCTGAGCTGTTCCTAATAGGCATATCCAAGCAGTGAGGGAGAGCTCAGCGGGATATGTCTTTAGCGTGATTGCTTAGAGAAACAGAAACAAACTTAATTATGATCTCAGATAAAATTAATTATCCATATCAAAACAGCCCCCGAACCACCGTGTTACTCATACGGACAGTTTCCCCATGACAAATAGATAGAAATCTAATGAAAAAAATAAAAAAAAATTCAAACTCCAACCTAAAGATTAGTGCAAAATAGTTTAGATTGGGGCTTGCCTACTATTTTCCATGCGTGAGTTTTTGTTTTAAGTGAATTTTTCTGTTGCAGTGTACTTTATTTACAAATTTCTGGTGGAATTTCCAACAGGTTTCTATTAAGGATCACTTTTGACATACAACATTAACCACAGAAGAACAGCTTCGTCATTATTTACTATAATTTCATATGATTTTAGATCTTTTTTAAAAAAATAATAATAATAATAATAAATCTGAATATATGGGGTATTGCTGACATTAAAAAAAAATATGGTGGGCATCTTTTAGGAGGCTAAGGGACCATTGACGTTTATAATTTTCATTTCCCAACAGCTGTTGAATAACAGGGTTGGTTTTTGTTGACTTGTTCTGAGATGGCGATGGTAGATGGGGGTGGGGAGGTTGCTCTTTTCAAACATCATTTCTTTGATATTTGATAACTGACAACACTTTTCAATTCAAGTTCACCTCTTTTTAAATGGGTTAGTTGTGTAGGTGTGTAATGCAACAGTCAGAACAAGACTGGTGGAGTCAACTGTTGCTGGCATTGCTTGTGCGTTCAATATCACCAAATGTCTTTAATTGGTTGAATTGATCATCAGTAATTTGTCTCATGTTTGCATTAAATCATCAAACTCTCAATTTTTTGTTATAACATATGCATTTATTCATTAGGACCCATTAGAGAGATAGAGAGGAGGCATATCAGATGCTTAAACGTATTGAATCTTGCTTGTATCCATTAATTAGGGCGTATTAGAGGTGTATTAATTCTTTTTCGAATGTTGATTTCAAGATGGGAATGATGTAAGATTGCTGTTTCAATGGGAAGAAGCCATGTGATTATTAAGATATATATATTTTACTCTAACGAGTATGGCAAATAATTGTTTGTATGGATTGTAGCTCCTTGCAGGTTTAGTGCTGCAGATAATGGTTTCCCTGGTTTCTGTCTATCATATTGTAAAATAAATTGATGTATTATTATTGATTGATGTGTATTGAATTACAAGATTGTTGTATTGATTTTGTACAAGAATTCCTATTATATAGGAGATGATTCTGGAGTAGGTGAGCAGTGAGTGGTGGAGGTAGGTGAGGA